GCCGGTATTTATGACTCAAAGACAACGCTCTCTCTATCAGTCCATGTTAGTGGCAGTGATTAGTCAGCCATTTGACCAGTCAGTCAATCATTTTGTTAGTCATATGTGTGNCACGTTGAGCGGGCTGGGGGGGGGCGGGAGAACGATTGAATTAATGTGGAGACGCTAACGAGACAAGGGGTCGGGACAGGGTGACAGTGTTGACGGCACTAATCACGGTGATGGTGGTGATGATCATCGTCGAAGTGGGGGAGTAGCAGTAGGAGATCAGAGAGAGAGAGAGTGGGATGAAGGCAAGAATTCGACATCTGTGGGACGAACAAAGCAGAAAAATTGGTCAGACATAAATAAAGCTAGCTGGAAAAAGAAACAGCGAGGCGGGAGCAGCTTACCGGGAAACTTGCAACCAAACAGGGCAAATCGAAGGCAAACTTGTTGTTTACCGTCACGGCTGTAAGGGTAGATTCGGATCCGTTTGGCGATTACCATCGAGTCCAGGGTGGCTCGAGCCAGATTTCGAGGGTCACTGTTTGCTCTGAGTACCTGAACAGGAACAGATAGAGAAAACAGAAAGACCATGAGGAAGTTTGTCGAACCCGAACTGTTCAGAGTTAAAACCAGCACTATGCAGATGTTATACCAAATGGAATTTCGTCTCGTCCATTTGATGTGAGGCAAATCGTGATACACGCCTTCGTTCCGTACCGGTTCTGGTTGGTTTTTGTTCACCCCGGTGCATCTCTTTGTAGCAAAAAAACCTGATAATCATCAGTGGAACAACAGGTTGCGACTCTGGTCGTTGATGCTTATGACTGCGCGAACGTGACAAAACAGATGGTTCAACTGTTTTCTTATTGATCGTTTTAGCTAAATGAGGGTGTTTCATATAGTCAATCGGCATATCCGATTGATTGTAATTGATTTGTTACGTAGTTCTATCAAGTTTGATCCTATCGGAAAAGTAAAAATAACTAACCGCCACTGATTGTGATCATTCTGTACTTACAATAGGAATGTATTTTAACACTCGGAGCCAATCAACAAATCCGGAAACTACTGTCCACAGGCTACTTACTACTACTCATCACCCACAACAGATGTCCAGTATTGATGATGGCAGATTTCTGTCTGTTCTGTCATTCCTTTGAGCCATCGATTCTCAGATCATATAAACGCTGGTATGCTTTGAAAGCACACAAACAATGGCAGCTTTTAGTGCCCACACATACAGCACACTTCTTGCTAATTCGGTGCAAGCAGCATCACCACTCCCCCCCCTTATCTACCTTCTGCATCCGCCCCCCCCTCCACACTCCCTCACTCTATCTCGAACACACACAGGAACAGTAAATTCATAATTATCGATCTGACTTAAACCAGCGTTCCCCCATTGATTGTGCAGATCCGATCGAGTGTGAATGACTCGCATATTCACGTTTACTGTTTGAGTGAATTTCATGTCAGATTTACGTGTGCCAAATAAAACAATCAGCTTAACTTTCTTCAAGATTCTATCCCTGCTCAACCTCACTACTACCAACACATCCACTACCACCACCACCAGTTTGCAGTTTGCACGACCATTAATCATGCACTCCAGTGCACCGGTTTTGGTTGCTATCTTTCGGCGGCCCATTTGGAAGAACACTAGGAGAAAGACAGAAAAGGTTGAACGTAGGACTGACGAGAAAATTGAAAAGTTCTGTGGATTAATGATACAGAGAAATTGAGAAAATGCATGAACGCCACTGTTTACGACACTCAGCCATACCATCGGGTACGACCATCCCGAGGTCCCCATCCAGGGATCCTAACGGGATTTATGTGACCCAGACTCCTGGTTAGGGTTTTCATATCCTCATGCCTGGTCTTAGCTTGACCACCTTGGGCTTTCTTCATCCACTACCTACCTCGGCAAGCATCGCTCGCCGTGGCAGCCTATTTGGAGACATGCGTAACACATGCCCCAACCAACGTAATCTATGGTTGCCTAAAACTGTTCGCCTGACCTCAGCATTGTTCGTCCGGCTGCCCCACCAGATTCGTGCAATGCTACGTAGACAGCGGTGTTCAAACACCGACGGTCTATCTTTGTCCTGTTTTCTTAATAGTCAAGTTTCTGCTCCATATAGCAAAACTGGCCAAACCACTGCAGCATATACTCGACCCTTCACAGACAGCCGGATATCGCGACCGCGCCACAGATGTCTCAAGTTGGCAAATGCCAATCGAGCCTTCTGTATGCGAGCTGACACTTCATCCGTGATGCGTCCACCGGGTGAGATGCAGCTGCCCAAATAACAAAACTTATCCACCTCCTCGATTACTTCCCCAGTTAGAGTGACAAAACTTATCCACGTGCTCTATTACTTCCCCAGTTAGAGTGAGGCTGGGTGCTGGACCACAGCTGCCCAAACAACAAAATTTGTCCACCTGCTCTATTATTTCTCCAGTAATAGAGCAGCACCACCAAAGTTCCAACAGGGCGGAAGACTTACGATTTACACCAGATCATGCCAATACGGTTGAGGGAAATAAGCGTGAAAGCCGGACAATGGCAGACATTTGCCGGACATCATTTTTCCTCTACAGTCTAACTGTATGTTCACATTTTTACTTCAGTACCAACGCCATGTGACGTTTGTTTTACACAATCGAAAACGGCTGTATCTTTCCGCGAAGGGAACTTTCACTTTTCGCTTCGCTCCGTTTTGCTCGTTATCGCGCTCGTTGGTTCTCGTGTCTTCGTGCTTTAACGTAAACTCTCGTTAGCCGGTACAGGTACGTTCTCTGTGCCACGGTACCTCAATAAACGTCTGCAACAACCACAAGTCATCTGGTTTAACCAGCGGTAACTTGGTTGTTTTGCGAGCCCGGGGTCACCTTCTGAAATGCGTCACGGCCGGTCGTAGTCGACGTTTGTTCACACTTATCCAGACGTATATACACGTGATGATGGCGACGAAGGTGTCCCATTGGTAGTGGTAGTAGTAGAATAGTAGCGTAGTCTCAGTTGCCGGTTATCATCAGGGAACGATACGCCCTCGTGATAATAGAATTTCTGAATCCTCTGCTCAGCACACAGTGGTATGTGTGTGTGTGTGTCAGGGTCTGACACACAAGTAGACACTTGCTATCTCGACAACGGCTAAGCAATAAGTCACCTAGTTGAAACTGTTTTGAATACAATACACTGACACTGTGGTACATCGATGTCTGTTGGTTTTATTCCTAACATACCACCGGCATATTTTCGTCAAAAGTGACCAAAATAGAACTTGTGTTTTCCTTTTTAAAGCCAATTTCTTGACCACTATTCTGCCACAATATTGGTTGAATTGAAATGAATGCTGAATGTGTACCACGGCGTAAAATATAAGAGGAAACAATTTACTGTACAAATAGACAATGTTTTAGGTATTTTTGGCCGAAAATTCAGAGAAAAAATAACAAGAATAGCTTTGGGGTGGCGTACGAAGAGGTGAGTGAAAAAACAAGTATGAAACCATGGCGAGTGACAGAAAAAATAGTTAAAACAATGCGGTAGTGTGTGTGGAACACGAGACAGTCAGGCGAATCAACAGTGGTCTAACTCCGATAATGTCTCTTCAGCATATAGTGATCCACACGTAATGGAATCGCGTTAGGATTCATTCGCAGCAGTAAAAGCACGCTTTATTATAGGGAAGAGAAAGTGCCAGAAAATGTATACGCACGATGATTGGTTGGCAGAATTCTGACCAATTATCTGCGTGAGGTTATCTCTGATCGGATTGATCGTACCAGAACAAAGAATTCTTCCAATCTCTGATTGGTCGTTCAGTTGTGCAACACTAGTTCAGGTAGGAAAGATACATGTGAGGTGCGTGAAATTATCTAACTAACTTGTTTTATCATCATGGGTGGGTGAATTACTTAATTAACCAATTTATGAGCTATCACATAGGCTCATGTATCCGTTAAACTAGGCTTCTGGAGCACAGATAGCAGACAGTAATGCTGTTTACCTTATCTGAATCGAGAGACATAGGATAAAAGCACAACACTGCTGTTTGTGGAAGCAAACCATTTAATTTTGATTCTCATTCAACACAGGAGAATAATCAACTATAGATAATGCGTTTTGCCCAAATCCTCTGAATCGCATCGAGGCGCCTGATTTGTTCACTACTGTCGGAGCTATGAAAACACTGGACAAAAAAGTCTACCAACCACGAGAATGTGTATAATTCGTATTCGTTGCCGATCAGCGATTGCTTGACTTGTGGTCGGGCAACATCGGTTGAACCGTAAAGCAGACGAGCGGAACATTCTGAATACAAAGCCACCCCTGCAATCAACACACACGCAAGCACGCATACTCCGAGCTGTTCTGAGCAAAAGAACACCAATCGAACTTACCCGTGTCCCATCCCGTTTCACATGTTCAAACCATGGTCCGTTGTCTTCTCGTTGATACTTTAGCACAAAATTGGGCATGAACTCTTTGACCTGCATGGGAAGTATAAATGCACAGAGATAGAGAGAGAGAGATAAATCTCCAAGTGCTTGTAGATCAAATGGAAAAGGGATGGAATGCAGCACAGCAAAACAAAAATCGTGAATTTCCGCCAAGAAAACACGAAGGTCATCATCATAAGATGATGACTCACTCGTTCAAACGTACAAACTACCGCAGTGAATCAATCAAACCAATTTAGGCGAATCATGAATTGCACTACATCGGTTCTGTCAGATGGCACATTCTGTGGTATACATTCGCTCTCACCATAAACCTGTTTTGCTCTCAAAAGCCGTAGATTCTCAGCGGATTTAGACCGGAGTTCTCTATCTGTTCGGGCTACTAGAATTTAAAAAACCACGATAGTTTGGTAATGACGCTCAAGGAAACAACAATCGTGAAGCGAGAAGCATATTACATACTTCTCGAAAGTTGTGCATCACTGGTGATGACAGCTAGTTCAGAAAAACAGGACCCGTCAACTTTGCATTGGCGAAACCACCAGAAACGCACAAAGGAGACACTTGTTGCTCGACCACAAAACGAAACAACGGTGACGGAATAGGCAATAGTGTTTGAAATACAACAAACTAAAAAGACGACTGGCGTACGAAGCGTCGGATCTGCTACATTTAGTAGCGCTTCGAAAGTCTATCCACGATCCCCTCTCGAAGTGTTAGTTAATGAACTGTGAATTCTTTGCAACAGTGATTTCAAAGAGTTTTCAACGAAAAGACCGCAAATAGACACGTCCCTTGTCCACCGACCGACCTTGCTGACTGCCGATTCAATGCTAGTACTGGTGTTCAGTTTTCCTGTTATATCCACTTGAATAGATTGACACAGAAATTCGCCGGTCCCTCGATGGATCCGTGTGCTCACGGAAGGGAAAAAGCAACCAGGGTGGTGGTGGTGATCAAGTTGTTTAATTTGCTACCAACGGCGTACCCTGGGTCTAAGGGTCCTAGTATTAAACCCCGTCACTGCCACTCAACGTTGTTGCTAAGCAGCTTCGTTGTCGTCCAGCTCAACACCACGTCTAACTTAGAGGGGTATTGTGTGTTTCTCCGCTCCAAGTTCTGGGGGGCTTCGATTATCAGATCCTGGTGGCTATAACATTTAACCCAATCCGTTGTACATCACCCAGAGGTGTATAGTCAAGCAATTCTGCGTAAATTTTCAATTGTGAAGTTGTTTTCAATCTTTTTTTTGAGGTGAGTGAATTTCCACTGTTTTCAATCGAATCACGGTCAAAGAGTGATTTTTTTTTCCACTGGAACGCAAGTTGAGAGGTTTACCGAAGTTAAGCTAGCATGATAGAATAGGACACGGATACAAAAAATGTTTGTTTGATACGTCATCATTTTCTAAAAAGCTGAATTCAATCGCTCCATTATTACACCAACGTTAGAATAAGCCAACTTTGTGGATAAATCTGAAAAGGATCATAGGAATACGGAACAAACTTACAATCCTAATTGCCTAATCCTAGTAGCCACAGTGCCTCTAGCTCTAGCACAGCCAAGTGGTACCAGTTGAGCAATGGGGGTGATAATGACAATGATGGCCTTATTTAGTAGTGGACCGTATTCTCGCACGTCACTTACTTACTTACTTGTACCGGTCATTAACGGCATTTTGTTGTTGATGGATTACATGTTAACCGAAAGCCAGTCACGTACTGAAACCATTTATTTAGTTAAGCAACGCCCACTCATAGACCTAAGTGGCCGTTCACTTATCCACGACCTGGAGACCCCCCTGTCAGTGGCGTTCGTTTCAATTGGCCTTATATTTGTAACGTTCTATGACCTAGGTCAATGTGAAGTGAATTCATTTCTAAGAGACCTATCAGTTCAAAGTGTTACAATATATCAGAAAACAGACTGAATATTACTCGGTTCAGTCCTATTCCGTCTCGTTCGTGAGACACCTTTTTACACCGGTATGCAGGCAGGGGAGTGACAGAGCGGCAAAGGCAAATCGGGTTGTTATCTGTCTTATGTTGAACAGACGGATAGAGCCGAACCGGATCGTGACAATCCTCACTCCTCGATCGAAGCTGTTCTATCTGGCATAAACGCACTCACAATTCGATAGGTACTCAGTCATCTCGCACACATTAGAGACGCGCGTGTGTCAGTTGTCCGGAACTGATTAGCATGCAACTGTACACTGTATAACCACTTCATTTTTCCACATTTCTCTATTCTACCCCCTATCACCATAATTCTACGTACCCAACAATGATTGGATTATCCGATTTCGAACTCAGATCTATCCTAGGTTACTCAAATAATAATCTAGTATATATATATATATACCTCCATTTTGAAATGAGGAAAAGGGCTCCGAAGACAGCTGGTAGTGTCATCAACCAATCAATCGATTGACCGACAAGTTGAGTGATTGAATGCTTGAACGGTTGACTGCTCAACTGGCCGACTGATTGAACATGCAACCACCGTGTGCTTCAATCAAGCGGATATTAGATCCAGTTGCAATCTGGAATATCGGCACCGGGCATCCGGACAACTGCTTACAGAAAGCACGGATACAGCACCATGGAACAGAGAAGTTATTTGTGACTATATAGAGTGAAGACTGGTTTACAAGAACTGAGAACACCCCCAGAACGAAGTTCCACGTGATTCTGTCCAGCTCAACCACAATGGAGACGAGTACGCAGAAATACGAGAAAAAAGACGAGATACTCCGGAGCCCTGAACACCAAATGAATTCGTGATTGAGGAAGGAAGTGCACAGTTGTTTAGGCGAATATGAGTCCTTTGTTAGTTAGTCCGAAACACCGAAATGATATGGTCGTGCGCCGGGCACAGACGGATAGACAGACAGAGAGATAACGAGAGAGAGAGAGAGAGAGAGAGATGAACCTCCTGAACCAAATACACATCTAGGGTTCATGTGAACATAAACAAATCCATAACAGATTGCTATGGTAAAAAGTATGAAGACAAAGAACACAATTTCGATCTTAACCATAGACATTGTTATCGAAAGTGTGTGTGTATGTGTGTGGTACTGCAATGTGAGTAAGATGGAATGGATAATAGGTTATTTTGAATGTGAATTTGAAAAAGAACACAATGAAGGCAGGAACCGATCGTCCTCCGCAAACAAGTAAACAGACACAGATGTTAGAAACCGTAGCTACACACACACACACTTACGTTCACTGTACTCAACAGTCCTGTACCAAGGATGTGCTATCGACTGGACAAAGTAGTTAACTGCAATATTAATTTTCCGTTGAAAAGCTA